GTATTGAGCCTCATTTTGTACACAAATAGTTTATATACCGGTAGAGAAAAGCTTATTTACTATCAAAAAATGAAGTATATAAAAGTTAAGAAATCATTATGATTTCTTTTGTTTTCAAAGTTGAATAGAAATATGGGTTATAAACATTATGAAAAAAAAAATTCATCTAATTAAAACTAAAATCAAATTTAAGCATTTTTAGGTGTAAATAATTACTTTCATTACTAAATATAAGTTTATATGTACTCTTGAATAAAATGACAGAAGATGACAGCCATCTCATCAGTATAAGATGAATCTGATTTGAATTTTTTTTAAACATTGTCTGACAGATTATATGTCACATGATAAACTAACCTAAACTGAAGGAAGTTAAAAAGATGTACTCTCTTGTACCTAATACAAGTGTCATCTGGAATAGTCCTGCTGGTGTAGGACTGTGATTTTCCGTTTCAAATTTTCCTTGATTCCATTTCCACTTTTGGTAAATTCTGTTTTTTTTTTTGTTTTTTGTTTTTTTTAGAATTGTGAAATTTCATGTTTTCCATTTTTATAGTATTTTATGAGAAATTTGCAATACATTATGCTATAATTATTATTAAAACAAAAACAGAATTCAAATTTTTATTGCATAAACATTTTGACTAAAATTTTACAAAACAGTAATTAAAGCATAATAGCTGAAATTTTGTAACAAAATATTAATAAAACAAATTAGACATATTAATTCAAAATTCAAATAAAATAACTTATCCCAAGTTGAAATACTGCTCAATTTTAAAATTGCTAATTTATTAATTTGGGAAATATCAAATTTTCTAATCTCTTCTCTAAAGCTCCATTGTAATATAACCTTGTGAGTTGCTTGGTGTTCTCAGGGGCAGGACTTTCACATTGATTATTGAGTAAATGTTTATACTGAAAAAAAAAAAATGAACGTTCAGCATCTATACTAGTAACAGGCATCCATGTGACTTTATTGGCAATCTGTTCCAGAAGAGGACGTCTGCTCTTATTTGCATTCCAAAATTTAAATCTCTTTTACAATGGTGAAGCACTGAAGATGATACACTTATTAATCCGGAAGAATCACTGTGTAACAGTAAGCTTTGGAGTAGACAAGACAGTCAATCATAGAATGGTGTTTTTGGTAAAAAAAATTTTTTTATTTATTTCTAAATTGAGTGGTAGGCGCATTATAGCATTTACTTTTCTTTCATATTCATAAAACAATGTTACAAGTTGTTTAGAATCTTTTACTTGTAAATTATGTGAAGTCTTAAAGGAAATGAATTTGTTAAACTTATTGGTTTGCTCTTCATCTCTCTCCCCTTCCAATTTTGATAACAACCAGTGTCTGTCTTCCCCATTTCCACTTCATCAATGGATCTCGGTGGCCATGACCTTCCGACTTTCATCTTGTTTGCTACATAGTTTCTTAGATAAGTTTTAAAATATTTAAAAATAGATTAGGCAATATATTCTCAGAAAATCAAAGAATCAGTTTTTTTTTTTTTATGTAAACGTTTTTGTTCTTAATTCTTTTTTGGGTCTTAAAAGGAAAAATAACTACAAATATTTGTAAAAACAAATTTTAAGGAAATAACTACATTATGTTATTGTTATATTTCTTATAACATTTAACAAAATTGGAGAGACAGTTATTAAATTTTGAAAGAATTAAAAAAAAAAAAATTTTTAAGTCAAATAATTAATTTATTATTGAAAATTACATTAAAAACCCAGATTCACAATTCCAGAAAATTTGTTCCCCTACTAAAAAAAAAAAAAATTAAAGTCTAATGTGTAAAAATAAATAGAAAAGAAAAAAAAAAACAGTCAAATTATGCCCACATCATTGCAAGGGAATCCATACCAAACTCTTTATGAAATTTCCAAATAATACATATGCTTTTCTTTAACACAAAAGCTTGATTGATCAATCAACTCTTTGTGTTAAATATTTTGAAAGCTGCCATTTAGAATTTACATTGACAGCAATAAATAAACAGAATTGTAAAACCAATTTGCCAAACTTGGTGTTGTAAATCCAAATGTTGGCCCCAGACTTGAAGATTTTAACAAATTCTAAAAATTTTTTTCAAAAATTGATGCAAAGAACAAGCCACTAATATTTTTTTCACTTTAAGATAAATGATTATCTTGTAAACCATTAGCAAGAAGTGATCAAGAAATCATTAGAACCTCAGTTCTCAACCTCAGTAAACTTGTAGATACACCTATAGGTTCACATTTCTAAGAATTTGCATTGAAAATGAAAACAATGGATTAAAAATAGATTAATATTTTCAAAAGAACTAAATTCTTAACAAAAATTCAAGACCGGTTGATCTCACTTATACTTATGAGATGGCTGTCATCTCCCAATATTTTATTAGTTATTTTTTATGTACTTCCCCAGTTTGGCTAAGTCTGGAACTTATTACAGTAGTATGAGTACTGTGATTGATGCTTATTAACTATTACTTCATTGTTGTATTTACTAAGTTGAAATTCATTGGGCATCAGGCTAAAATTATCAGGTGCCCAGTAAGACTTCACTACAATAGTAATGACTTACAATACACTTGCTAACCAATATAAGGTACTATTCATATTGCTTCTTCCTTTGCTGCTGGCAGACTTCAGAAGCAGCAGTAACAAAAAAAAAAAAAAAAGAGAAAGAAGTCAAGCTTAGCAGCGAGGCTGCAACAGCAGCAGAAATAAGAACATTAGGTTTAAGGCTCTAAGTTTTAGCTTCAGGATTGTCCCTAGAGGATTAAAATGTGGATCCCTAGGCTGGGCAGCTCAGACTCAGTGGAAACAAAGCAACGAGCAATAACTGAGCAATACTACAAAGGCATTCGACAAGATATCCTATAGACATGAACAAGAGAGCAAGAACAATATACCTATAAAGATTAAATAAAAGTTTCAGAAGGTTACTCCAATTGACAGACATCTGAAGAAGGCCAGAGGACACAATGGCTGAAACGTTTTGAAAGTAACAACAAAGATGAGAATATTAGTTGTACTAATATAAATGATAATTTCTCAGAGAGTTCTGGTAGAAGTAATTTTAAGATTTATTTTTAATTATTTATTTTAAAGTATAATACATTGAATTTATAAAAATGTATAAAGTAATATCTTTATAGAAAATAATGTGCAGTTATTTTGTCAAAAGTACAAATTTGATTGATTCTTAACTGTTAGCTGTTTTTTTTTTTTAAGCACTTTATTATTTGGAAACATTTGTACTTTTAGACCACAACTATGTTAAATGTCATTGGGGGGAGTGAGTATAGAACAAAAGACTAAATTTATTTACATTTTCCCCAGTTAATGGTTAAATTATCTTTGAGATTTCTGGATAGTAAACATGTTCATTATATATTTTTGTTTGTTTAGAAACTTATTTGCAGTGATACATTCCACTAATATAAGTATATATATCCAAATACAAGGTTGGTATAGATGGAATAAACTTCCAGTAACCAAAAACACTAATTTTAAAAATGTGCTCAATACAAAGTAGAGCAAATAATAATATTTATTTAAAAATTATAACATACTTATGTTTTAATTTTTAAATATTATATGTGTGTGTGTATGTATATATATATATGTATATTATTTTTCTTACAAAGTGATTTGTTTTCTGTAAAATAGAATATGAACTACATAGCAAAAGAAAATATGGTTGCTGTGATTTTGAAGTCATGACTAGACCATAGCTTCTAAATGCAGAGTTGTTACTCCTTTTCAGGTTTAAAAAATTATGTCCTGGATTTCAAAGTTATTTCTACATTAATAGCACATTTCAGTATTAATAAATTGGTGATCAGAGAGAGCTTAAGCTATAAAAACAATATATCTTGTCAATCTTACAAGTAAATACAAATGTCATACAATGATAATATATAAAGCTAATCTGAAATGTGGCATTATAAAATAGACAGTTTTAGACTTCAGAACTGTTAAGATGTTTGAAAAATCAAATCTTGTTAAGAGATCATTATTTAACATTTATTTTCTATTTGTAACCAAAGAGAATTATGTATCTGAAGTAATGTTTAAGGTAATTTTTCTTTGAAGGTTCTACAACCATTTTCACTACAGAAGACCATACACGTAAGCATTTTCCTTAGAAAGAGAAAAAGTTGATTCTTATCTCTTTGAGAAAAAGATCTTTTCTATAAAAAAAATTGAAATTTCGGTCTAATATTATCTCTGGTATCAATGTGATTAGCATTCACTGCAGCCATTAAATATTATGGAATAATTAAAAGAAAAAATATAAATACTTTAAAAATCTATGTATTCAATATGAATATGATCCATGTATATATATATATATGTATATATGAAGAAATTTTGAAAAAACAAACAAAAATCCTTAAATGTAGTTAAAATGAAAGAAATGTCGACATATATAATATGAATTGAGCATGTAATATTTATTCCTCTTTGACACTACCTTCCCCAAACATTTTGGAGTGAGTGAGAGAGAGAGAGTGTGAGTGAACAAGTGAGAATGACATGAGAGCAAATAAAATTTTAATAAATGTTATTTTCCTTATGAAGTTAGGCGTGCCATTCAGAAAATGGGTCACAGTTTGTTGCCCATGATTGGTTTATATAATAGGAACAATAGAAATATTGTTTTCAATTTTTGTATCAAACTATCAAATGGAGGACATTAAATAACAAACGTATCTCAACATTTGTTTGATAGATAATCAATAGAAGAAAAAAAAATTGGCTTTCATTTATTTATTTCATTAGCATTTATCACCAATTGTGTCAGTTTAAATGATTAAACCAAAGTGTAAAAATAGACCCAAATACATACATACCATATCATATATTTTTTCTTTTCTATATAAAGCTTTCTTTACAGCTAAGATCCCTTGAAGAGGTGAAGGAAAAACCTCAGAGAAAATATTTATTTAACATGACCTAACTTTAACATATTTTTTTTTTTTAACCTCCTTTAGGCCAACACTACAAGGACCAAACAGTCAAGAGAACAGCCAGTCATCCCAGCCGTCCCAACCAGCCCAACAGCAGAATCAGGCATCAGTACAGTGACCACAGCTACTTCTGTGATTGGAGCACACCTTAAGCAAGGTTTTTTCTCCTCTTGAAAAAAAAACCCTTCTTTAAAGGTGCTGCTGATTTGTAGAACACTGTGTGCTCTCTCCACCCATCATTCGCCTTCATCATTATCATATTGAGGTGCTGAGAACACACTGCCTATAAACAATAGAAACATACCAGATCTACACAGCTTATTAAAAATTTATCATCCTGCATTTGAAAATTTGTGTATGTCTGTGTCTCTCTCTTATTACTGTTTACTTGAATTTTGTTAGTTCTTCTCTCTTCAACAGAACATCTTGCTCCTTCCCCATTTTCTCAGCAGTTTCTGCTTAAGAATGTGTGTG